GACAGTACCAGCATAAATTTAAGTTTACTTTAAATATTGAAAATATAATTCCTACAGCATAGCTGAAAAAACGGGAGTGTAGGCTTATTTGTGAATTCAACGTAGTGAAATTTTCGTTATTATGTAATTTGTGGATTTCAAACTGTTCCAGATTGTTCAAAAATAAACCCTTATCTGCAAAATGTAATATTTTAAAAAATTTTGTTGGATCAAACTCATGATTTGTTTCTGAAAGATCGTTAGCAAATTGTGAGTAGCCCGAGGAGGATGGATTAAGACAACGCAAGTGTTCCTTAAAACGAATCTTGAGGTTTCTATAAGTTCTCCCAACGTATTTTGCGTTACAGGTATCACAAGATAATTCGTATACTCGGCTTTTTTCCTGTAGATTTATCTTGTCTTTATTGTTAGAGTGGGAGGACCTATAGGATATATTCGTGAATTGTTGAAAGATATTAGCAATTCTCAAAGAGACATTACCGAAATAAGTTAACGATCTATAGGGCAAAGTATTATTTAAATTTTGTTGGGGGTTGTTTTTGCTTGGGTCATTAGAAATTGATTGTTGCATAGGTGTATTTACATTATTGAGAGACAAATAATAGATTTTCAACATTTCTGTTCTGTTTTTTTCTTGACAATTTTTGGATTAGTTGAGGATCAAAGCCATTTAACAGCACAATCTGCTTTGATTTTTAATTCATTCTCAAAGGACTGTCTATCCAATGGAATCCTCAACAATCTATTTAGATAGGAATGAAATGCTGCTAATTTGTGTTGTATGGACTGCAAAGAGTTATTATTTATAGTAATACCAGTGTGCGTTGGTTTACAATAGATATCATTATCAAATTTTATTTTACCATCAACAACTGTTAAAGAAGGTCCAGGAAATTAAGAGATTTTTGTTCATTCTGTATTTCAATTGTGAATTTTATGGCTCTATGTAAACTATTGACATAATTAAGGAAATCATCGAGGGATTCCACTGGGCCTGACTAAATGATTAATATGTCATCCACATATTATCTACTATATGATTTTATATGTATATGTAGAAAATTGGTTATCCTTTACAATTTTTACGAACTCTAGCTTATGCATAAAGATGTCTGCTAAAATAGGAAACAGAGGAGAGCCCATGGGTAAACCCTCGTCCTGATTGAAATTTTTATTATTGAATGTGAAAAAACTTTGTTGTAGACACATTTTAAGTAGATTATCTAGCTCAGTAAATTGTGTAGAAGTATAATCACTTGTTATAAGATCCTCTAGAATGAGCTCCAGCAATTCATTCCTCGGGACATTTGTAAAAAGATTAGAGACATCAAGAGAAATTAGTGTATCATTAGATGATACAAAGTAATCAATCAAAGATGAAGATTATCCAGTTATTCTGGTTGGGGAATTGACAAACATGGTTAATCCATAGGAATGCAATAAATTTTTCAGATCTAATGTAGATAGGGACTCATTGTTAAGAAAGTTTATATTTACGTCACCGCAGAGAATTATTTTAGACTGTGATGGTTGTGGAGTATGGTTTCTCTGGCCTATAAATGCATATGATGTACAACTTATTTTTTCTGTTGAATCCTATTGAAAACTCGAATTCTTTTCCTATGCATAAAAAATCAAATTTATTCACAGCTTCTAATGCAAAAGTTGAAAAGAACGATGTTTCAATTAAAATCATTGCACCTCCATAACCAACAGAGGTCTCTCTGCAATACTTTGACACAATGAAATAATCTGGTAAATTAAATGGTTCCCAATCTCTTAGCCAGTGTTCTGTAAGTAATACTAAATCTGCTTTATTAAGACTGATGTCTAGGCACTGGAACTTATGTTCTGGAATTTATTTTGTATTCCATCCTTAAGAATCAAATTCACAAAATTGTAAAAAACTAAAAATTAAAATTTGAAACAGAGATTACCTGTTATGCTGCATGGTTTTTTCAAAGTTCAAAACAATTTCAATATGTATTAAAATCACTGAGATAACTTTTCACGTGATCTTCCTTCGTAATGTCGTTCAGTCCGTTATTTACTTAAAACCATTTTCTCTGCTGCAGCAATTACAAACTATCCGGAACCCTTGTCCTTAATACCTACTAGTTCTCGCTGATTTTATTCCAAAATCATGTTGGACCCACTACCAACTTCCTTTTTGTGGTAGTTGAATAGCAGACATCTTCGTTGATTTTGATAGTTTCAATTTTTCAAAGATTACGTTTCAAGCAAGACGGGCACCTATTATGATAAATCTTGTTCCTTTACACTGGATATTAGCATTAGTTTAGCACTTGGCTCAGATTCCAAATGACTACCATTCAGCTCTGTGAAAAAGGCAGTCATTAATGTTTTTTATTTCTTTGAAGATTTTCATTTCATCAGCAAACAAGAGAAAATTACAGGATTTTATGGTACTTGTGATATCATTTCTAAATAAGAGAAATAAGAGAGGCCCCAAGGCGGAACCTTGTGGGACTCCCGACGTGGCTGTGGAAGTGTTTGATTCATAATTTTTTACAGATACAAATTGGTTTCTATTTGAGAGATATGATCTGATCAGCTGACAAAGGTCCGATGAGATTGAGAAGGATGTAAGTTTTCGAACTAGAATGTTGTGATCCACTTTGTCAAATGCCTTAGCAAAATCTGTATAAATCGCATCAATTTGGTGACCATTAGCTAGGACTTCTGTGGAATGTGTTACAAAATCCAGCAAGTTCCCTATTACTGATCTATTTTTCCGGAATCCAAATTGAAGTTCTGACAGTAGGTTCTACATGGTTTATTATTGCTTTATAAAGTATGGATTCGAAAACTATACTAACGCTTGACAGAATAGCAATTGGTCTATAATTTTCAATGTTATTTTTAGGACCTGGTTTGTGAATCGGTGATATACGGGCTATTTTGAAATGCTTAGGAAACTTCTTGCTGGTGATGGCCAAGTTAAATACTTCAGCAGCTAAGGGTTCGGAAAGTACATCTTTGCATCCTTTCAGTAGGTATCTTGGTATTTTGTCAGGACCAACTGATTTTTTATTTTTTTATTTAGATATAGCTTCCTCAACGCGTTGTACATACAGTTATAGTAGGAAGAGTAAGAGGAGATTCAAAATTTAGGGTATCGGTAAATTGGGTTCTTGTTGTATTTTGGGAAGGTTGATAGACAGATTCAAAATGTTGAACGAAAACATAGCTATGTTGAGACCCCCTGTATATATTTCATTTTCCCGAATCATTTCACAAGGGAAGTCGTTTGAATTTTTCTTCTTTGATTTCACCAAACTCCAAAACTTTTTTGGATCCTGTTACAAATTTAGCTCAACATCTTGAATGTATTGTCTGTACGCTATCTTGATATCTTTTTTGATTTTCGTTCTTAAGAACTTGAAATCGGTCAATCTCTGAGGCAATTTTGTTTTTTTGTATAATCTTTGATTACGTTTTTTAGCTCGAATGTCCAATATGATTTCAGCATTAAACCATGGAGAATACTTATTTTTTTTTGTTTACATTTTTTGGAACAAATGTGTCAATGGTAGTATACAATTATTCATAAAATATGTCAACCGCTTGATCCACTTCAGATACATTTTCTAAGCAATTCCAGTCGATGTCGCGAAGAGATGAATATAACCCGAAAAAGTTTGATTTTTTGAAATTGTAGTAAGACTTTGCATTTTGAGGGCATGTTTTGAAGCTATTTTTTATACCTACTTAGTTCTATTTCAAGAGTTGAGTGAAAGGGGTCCTCTTTATCTTTTATAAAAGGCTCAGTATATCTTGTTACTATACATGGCAAGTTACAAATTACCAAATCTAAAGTCCTGCATAAAGAGTTTGATATCGAATTACATTGTTTGGCCCCTGTAATGTTACAAAAAATTTCCATATTGATTTCAAGTTTTCGTCTGCTTGGTCGATATTGAAATCTCCCAATATTAAGAAATCTATATAGAGCTGACATTAGCTAATGGAGATTTTGTACTCATGTCCAATGCTTTGATGCCAGCCATGATCGCACTTGAAACACCACCTCCTCTGGTTTTCCGGGTAGCTGCTTGGTCGCGGTCGGCTCGAAACACTTTGTATTTACTGCTAAACAATTCACTGTCATAGATGCTACCCTCCAGCCAAGTTTCCGTTAATGAAATAATGTCGTATTCCTACTTTTGTACACTAGTGTAAAATTCGTTAGTCTTAGTCATTAGGCCTCGTATGTTCTGGTAATAGATACTCAAAAGGATGGGATTGATATTGTTAGCCATTGTAGTTTACTTGTCCGTGCTTCTCCAGTTTCATCTGATACGCTGGACATTCAAAATCACGCGCAGAGTGTTGCCTTTCTTTTATGTTTAGCTTTTTACAATTAGGACAATCAAGTGGGTTTTCATCATTACAAACTTGCGACAAATGATCTCCTCCACATTTTAGGCAAGTTGATTTTGTTTCTTTACAGTATTTGCTTACATGCCCAAATCCACAACACTTAAAGCACATGGCCACCCTTAGGTACTCTTCCACATATACTTTGGTTAGGTTAAAGGATGTAGTTCCAGATCTCATTAAATATCTGAAAACATCTGGTGCTGTTTGGAATATCCATATTATAGCATTTAATTGGCTCAATAAAAGGGAGAATTCAGATTCACTAAATATTTTTGTCATCAATTTTGAATTGCCATAATCATAGTTATTTGGTTTGTCCAGAAATTTAAGTGACCTGCATAGATGAACAGATGCCTCTACTTTGATATCATAGGTAGAGTCAAAAAAGTATTGCTCAAAATATGTGGGAGATTTGTTATAGATTTTATAATTCTAGTTTCATTTGAATAGGCGTTATCACTCATTCGACACTAAAATACAGCAGGTATGAAAAAGATATACTGGCATTTAATAATTCAACTCAAATTTTTATTGTAAACCAAAAACTGAAAAAATAAGGTAATTTGGACAAAATCCAATATAGTCCCTTTTTCCAGGTTACATATCCCCGATCTGCAACTTCCACGACCCCCAAAACAAAAAAGGTATCAACTGTATAAATGAAGATCAAGTCCAAAATGCCATCAACTTACTAAACAGCATCAGACCAGAGTTACACAAAAAAGCTGTGGCTCATCGTTGCGTTGACCCGACAATCAAACCACAAATGTCGGAAGCTGAGATTGTGAGTTTTTGCCAATCGAATTACGGTATAAAAGATGCTGTGATGATCAGGAACGATTTAAAAAATTTGGAAGTTTTGCTATTTTCTAATCCGGGGTGGGGAGTGCGTTTGGCACAAACAGAAAATAATGACGTGGCTGTGACTGAGGATAACTTAGCGAAAAATATGGTAAGAACTTCTTTTTTTGTTTTTTTTTTTTACCAGGTGATGCCACAATTCAATTTTTTTTTTACATTTAGCCCTTAGCGCAAGTCTTTATTACGTATTCAGTTTTTGCAGCTATTTAGGATGTTTCTAAGCCAAGGATTTAAAAGCCCAATGCAAAATATTCACAGTAAATAAACAAACTTTTTATGCCAATTTCAAGAATAAATGTACCATTTTTTTGTTTTTAAATTCCATCTAGTTTTATTCAAATTTACACTTTTTTTGAGCTGCATTTATTGTAGACGAAAATTTTCATTCAAATTATACTCTGCGGTTTAGTATACATTTTTAACTGTAATTTATTTCAACTACTTTCAGGAAACAGCAATTTTTAACTTGGACAAGAAAGTGACGAGCTTAGTGTTCCTCAATCCCGACGTACCTTACAGCTGCCAAGTGTACAACTACGTCACAAAGGCCCTTTACACTATTTTACTTATTGCGGGGATCTTTGGTATTTTGTTTCTTTTGCGATACAGCTTTAAGAAATTCAGGACCTACGAGAAAAAACAAAAAGACGAGGTATTTTTTTATTTTGGTATAACTTGAACTGATTTATTTGACAAATTGGATTTTTTTTTAAGGTGAATTCTATAGTTGATAAAATTCTCGACCTTCTCCAGAACGCTGCACAAGAGGAACCAGGTTATGTGGTTATCAATCACGCAAGAGACGCCATTTTAGACATTAAAGATAGACAAGGTAATTATAACAACAGCATTTTTATTCTAATCTAAGCAAAATGGTGATTTGGCAGCTAAGAGAAAATTTTGGGAAAAGGCTGTACAGTCTATCATAGAAAACGAGTCCAGAGTGCGTCTTGAGGTCCAAACTGTGCAGGGAGAGTCGTTCGAGGTTTGGAGGTGGATTGGAAGTGCTAATTTAAGTATGACTGGGTAAGTGATTTTTTTTTTTGGTATTAAATTTGACAGTGAAATAAGAGCTAGCAGTAATAAAAACTGGGTTGTTTCTGCATCCAATCATGCGAAATGCAAATAAGGCATCTAATAATAATGAAATTTCTTGTAATTATTTGTGACTGCTGTGTAAACTTTTTGATAAAATTCACATTTCAATTTTTCTGAATCAGTGTAGAGAACGACTTTGATACTATGACTATAATATATTGACCCAATAAATACCTAATTAGCAAACTATCTGGACTATTCTGAATTGTTTTACTCATATATTTGTTTGCTTGTCCATTTTGCAAACCTTCCCAATGAGGTTTAAAACCGATAAAGATGTGTTGAAGACAGTGGCGCAGCCAGAAATTTTGTCTGGAGGGGACCATGAAGAAAACATTATAGGAGTTTACACAGACCACCTATCCTTTAGAGGGGGTGTAATCTAAACCAAAAATCAAAATTTCTATTGACGTTAAGTCTACGTTTTGTTGCAAACACTAAAGACTGATATCTTTTGATAGAAATCTGGCAGAAAGGCGAGGTTTTCGATGTTGTTCTTGGAGTTTTTTACATATTATATAGGCCAAGCAATGAAGGAAGTTTACCTCAACATAATTAGAAGTTAACATTTTTTGGGAGGGATCGGTTCATTTTCATGTGCTTAATAACATATTAAGTTTGCGACCTTGTACTTCCATAGGGTTTTTAGTTAGGGGTGGTTTTTAGGGGTAATTTGCGGTTTATGGAGAACGCTGCTCAAAGGGATGGGCCAATAGCAAAAAGTTTCAAATGAATGTTGTAGCTGAAGTTTTTTGCTATAAAAAACTCAGCGACAGCACCCTTCTATCTTCTATAGTTTTTTTTCTGCAGCGTCTTGAATACTAGCATGTTTTTATTCAAGGTCACTGAATCAACGTATTACCTGTTTGCGCGCGTTTGATGCAGCAGCGGCTAAATGCATAATCCGATTTCAATTTTTCAAACACCACATTATTGCTAATGAAATGCACTCTCCAATGCTTTTTTGTTCGAATTTTTTGCTTAAAAATTAAGCGAGCACCGACTTGGCTAATGTGCGAGGAAGTTGTAAATTGCATCGAAAACTACCCCTTTCTTGCATTCACTGTAATTTCTAAACGGGGCGAAATATTTGGTGACAGTTTTCGACAATCGGCAGCCCATTTATTCCTCTCATATTGCCCCAGCGGATTTTTTTTTTTTCGTTAAATACTCAATGACTTATTGGCCTGAACTAGTCCCGCGGAATTTTTCAAAAAGTCGAAAAAAATTAAAATTGTCGCACGGCGCCGAAATTTGGTACGATGGCTTTTTTTATTGTTTTTATGAATATACTGAAACTTTAATTGCTTCACATGACTGCTGCAACCATTAAAATTGCAGTATATTCATGAGAAAAATAAATAATGCCATCGTACCAAATTTCAGCGCTGTGCGACAATTTTAATTTTTTTCGACTTTTTGAAAAATTCCGCGCGACGTGTTCAGGCCAATAAGTCATTGAGTAATTAACGAAAAAAAAAAATCCGCTGGGGCAATATGAGAGGAATAAATGGGCTGCCGATTGTCGAAAACTGTCACCAAATATTTCGCCCTGTTTAGAAATTACAGTGAATGGAAGAAAGAGGTAGTTTTCGATGCAATTTACAACTTCCTCGCACATTAGCCAAGTCCGTGCTCGCTTAATTTTCAAACAAAAAATTCGAACAAAAAAGCATTGGAGAGTACATTTCATTAGCAATAATGTGGTGTTAAAAAAATTGAAATCGGATTATGCATTTAGCAGTTGCTGCATCAAACACGCGCAAACAGGTAAAACGTTGATTCAGTGACCTTGAATAAAAACACGCTAGTATTCAAGACGCTGCAGAAAAAAACTATAGAAGATAGAAGGGTGCTGTCGCTGAGTTTTTTATAGCAAAAAACTTCAGCTACAACATTCATTTGAAACTTTTTGCTATTGGACCATCCCTTTGTGCAGCGTTCTCCATAAACCGCAAATTACCCCTAAAAACCACCCCTAACTAAAAACCCTATGGAAATACAAGGTCGCAAACTTAATATGTTATTAAGCACATGAAAATTAACCGATCCCCCCCAAAAAATGTTAACTTCTAATTATGTTGAGGTAAACCCTCTTTTTAGATCCCTGTTTCTTGGAGTAATAAACCAAATACGTATTTTTAGTTTACACCCCATAAGCTTTTTATGATATGAGCAGTTTACAGCTTTTGTCTACTTCATCTTCATTATTTTTCTATTTTTCTCTGAAGCCTTGGGGGGGGGGCCGCCCCCCCCTGGCTGCGCCGCTGGTTGTATAGGTTAATTGATAACAGCAGACAAAGCATTAGCAAATACAATCAACAGAAGAGGAAACTCCCTGTGCTACTCCTAAATTATTATCATTATTTTTTTTTTGTTGTACTGATACTTTGCTTACTATCTTCCAAATAAGGAACTACCCTTTTCGCATTTCCTTTAATAACGTAATGTTCTAATAAATCTTTGTCTGTTAAAACAGTCATAGACCTTGGATAAATCTATAAACTCGCCATTTTCAATGCGATTCAGTATGTTTGCTATAACTCCAATAATTTACGTTATTGCTGGTTCACAGATCTTTGAAAAAGTGTGCCTGTGAGCTTGTAACTACAAAGGTTTTGAATTTCTTTTTATCATAGTTTAATACGTGCAATTACTAAGTTTTCTGGGAAATCTCCAATACTTAAATAATTGTTTCAACATATTTTTTATTACTGAAGCATGCATGTTAATGCTTATTGAAAGTTTGTTTTATGCTTATTATTTAATTCACTAGCAATCTCAAATCAAATCAAAATTTGCTTTATTATCGAAGACATACAATCTTATTGACAAAGCCAAACTTAAATATATAAACACAGCAATAAAAAGCCTTAAAACTAGTTACATAAAAACAATAAAATAAAATTCGATAAAAAATATAACACTTGCAAACACTTGAAAAATAAACTGATTAGAATATAAATACACAGTCAACATTGAAATACAGAGAATGCGAAAAATCAGTCATAAAAACAGAAATTAAACAATAAAACCGAAAAACAATCAAGCAGTGACCCAAGGTAGTGACACTGGAAATTTTCCTGAAAAAAATCCTCAATGTCATAAAAAGGCCGCACAAGCAATAATGCGTTTAGGCTCTTACGAAAAATCCTATCATTATTTATTTGCCTAAGGGAAAGTGGTAAATGATTGAAAATTTTCTTACCATTGTAAATACGCGACTTTTTGGTTTGTGTACTGTTAGGGATAGGCAAGTTAAGCGAATGGGAAAGACGAAAACTGCGTTCTGAGAGGGCAGCAACATCCTGCGTCTGCCTATACTTCTTTTGCACAAGACAAGCAGTTAAAAATATAAAAATACTTGGCAAGGTCAAAATTCCCTCCGACAGAAATAAAGGCCGACATGAGTCTCTAACTTTTGTTCGGCATATGTATCTCACTGCCCTCTTCTGCAAAATAAATACGCTATTGAAGAGTCTCTTAGAGAAAACACCCCGAAAGCATACACCATATCGCAAATGGGACTCGATCAAGGCGAAGTACGTTTTACGTGCTGTCGACCAATCAAGTTGGGCACTAATAGTTCTCAGTGCATAACAGCCGGATGCCAACTTCTTATTAAGAGCTTCAACATGGGCCTCAAACTCCAATCTGTCATCAATGTATATATACCCAGAAATTTGTTTTCGTTCAAATTGGGAACATAAGAATTATTGAGTGAAATACCCTGTAAATAACATTTAAATGACATTATGCGTGTTTTTTTAACATTTAATGAAAGATTATTTGAGTCACACCAATCCTTCACATGAACCAAGTCATTATTTATAAGTTCACTCAATACACTTTCATTTTTTCCATGCCATAAGATGGTAGCATCGTCAGCAAAAAGCGTAAATTGGCCCGCTATATCAATGAGTGCCAAATCATTTATATAGAGAGGGAACAACAGAGGCCCCAGCACTGAGCCCTGTGGGACGCCAGAGCTCACATTTAGCTTTTCCGACATCAGGTCCCCAAACAAAACAGTCTGCTGCCTGTACGATAATGTGGCTTTACAGAATTTAAAAACATTGATCCTTCTATTTTTTAATTCTATTTTCAAAGAGAATAAGAGTCTGGGGCTTCTATTGGATTGGATTTCATTTTTCTGGCGAAAAGTTTCGATCGAGCGCTTGATGACGATTTTCCTGGATCATGTCCAGGCTATACTTGCTCTTTCTTAGTAAACTATGTTATTCATTCACCCAAACCAAAATAAAAAAAATAGCCAAATTGTAAGGGCCAACTAATACAGGGTATAATGTACAGGAGAATAAGGATAATAAGTAGCGAACAGTATTGGTTCCAAACAAAATTCAAAGAGGCTGCATACAGGGTGTTCCGAAATTAATGCACCAAATATCCATGGCATATCATATTCTACATCGAAAATAAGCCCTAGTTTCCTAGATTAACATATATCCGGAAACGCTTCCTTTCCGAGATACTAGGGTGTTTAAATTCTAAGAAAAAAACTATTTTCATAATTTTCAAATCACTCTAGATATTTCATCGAAATTTTGTAAACTGCTTTCAAGACATTTTTATCATAATTTCGCTCTTCGAATTTTTTATCATAATTTTGCCGATTTTGCCATGCATGAAAATGATTTTTTATTTTTTTACTTGAAAACGGTGCATCTGGCCAGGACTTTTACTATGTTGCAGTTCAGCCCTCGGGCTTGATCTCTACCAAAAATCAGCTTTATTTTATTTTTGTCTAGGTAAAATGCTATCTTGACTCGGGTAAACAGTCCATTTTTAAAGCTGACGCATTATGCATTCCTAAAAAATATAAGATCGAGCATCAGACTATGAGAAAAAACAGTTATAATAATTAGCTCAATAATTTAGTTAGTTTTGCAATATATCATGTTGATTTTTGACAATTAAAATTCCTCCATTTTGGAGTTTGTATTTCCTCACAATCGCATGTACATACTCTTATGTATTCCTGTATGTATTTTTATGTACTCTGATGTATTCCCTTGTAGTCATATGTATTCATATTTATTCTTATATATTTTTTTGTATTCTTATCTATTTCTTTGTATTCTTATGTATTTCTTTGTATTCTTATGCATTCCTTTGTATTCCTGTGTATAAATTTGGCTGGCGGTTAATCCCTCGGGGTCCTTAGTGTAGTTCTAGAATAATCCCAATCAATCATGATTTTCTTGAAATCAATTTACATAATATGTACTTTGTATACAGGGTGATTTATTAGCTCAACAAACTTTGACAGTCTTATGTAGTATACATAATCACCATATATTTTTCCCCCTTGGTACATACCTGAATAACTAGTGAGGTAGTGGGTTTAAGCGATTTTTGGAGGTTTCTGATAAAATTTCAATCATCTCTGAACTGCTTTAATTTGCAATAGCTCTCATTTCACCACACAATAAGATCTTTTAATGCTGCAATCTGCAATACATCTGGTAATTTTGTAATTTACATTTCAAAATAGATGCTTCAGAAGAAAATAATTTTATAACAGTAAAAGTGATTTTTTGCATGTTTGGGTGATTTTTCTTATTGCTTGCCTCTTGCCTTTGTTTAAAATATTTTTAGTTATTTTGAGTGGTGAAAGGTGGTGTGTACAAAGTTTCAGTTTGGTAGTTTTTGAGTGTTTATGAGTTTTCCGTCTTCATACCGTAATTGTAACTTAACCTTAGAAATACGATTTTTGGGCGAAAATTGACAGGGCAAGAGGGAAAAAACTTTTGACATATTTGCTACAAATAAAATCAAAAATATTACATTTAACAAACTTAAAACATAGTTTAGCTCAGGTAGGTACTTATTTTGTTTATTTTTTTACTTTCCTCAAGGAATGTATCTGTCATATGATGGGCATACATTCGGAGTTGCACCTTTGATGTTTCTGTGAAAAATAATTAAAACATCAGATCAGTGCAATAGTCTAAAGAAACTATACAGAGCAATTTTGGCTTTAAATTTAGAAGCTCTATAATTTGGTCTGGGGCAACTTTAATTTCTGTTCAAATTTAATACAGGAAAGAAGTGCTGCTTTTATAAATTTTTTTTATCGGTACATCGTGAATTGTATTACAATATAGCAGTATTTTGTGAGTGAGTTCAACAATTAAGTGAGTGGGAAAATGTTTTTCGTGCACACCGTCTTTCTCTGCTCAACTAAAATGTACAAAAATTGAAAATTCCCTATTTTTTCAGGGAAGAGATCGGAACCAAATACCGTCCAGGTCGTCGTATTGTAGACGTAGATTACTTTACCAATAAAGCCTTTAAATTTCCTCACAAAAACTGTAAAACTCCAGAGGTTTACATAAAATGCGAAATAAGGGAAGGATGTTTTTCTACTTACATTTTAGAATGTAAACAATGCCTTGAACAACATACGGTTCACAGTGAAGATCCCGAATCTGATTTATTAGATGTTAATTTGGCTTTTGTTGGAGGAATGTCTAAAATTGCTTCAAATTCAGGACTGTACCAGATGAATGAGTTATGCAGTTTCATGCATATTCCTACGATTTCGGGCGAGAATTTTGAAAATTCATGGAAAAAAATTAAAGAATATCCAGAAACTAAGACTGCTGTGACCCCAAAAGTTATTGAGAAAGCTGAAACAACAATATTACCATTAGATTATGATGAAAAAATGAAAACATTCTTGCAAGAGTTAGAGAAAGACATAGGAGTAGTAGAAGTTCTCACACAAGACCAAAGAAATGCTGAATTATGGTTCCAGGAACGTAAAAAACGTTTAACTGCCTCAAATTTTGGCAGAATCATTAAGTTACGTGATACGACAAACAGGGAAAAGGTCGTCAACAATTTATTGTTTTCTACATTTAAAGGCAACTTTGCCACAAAATATGGCCAAGATAACGAGCCTAATGCCATAAAGGATTTTGAACAAATGACTGGCAAAATTGTTAAGAAAAGTGGTTTGATAATACACAAAGATCATCCCTTCTTAGCGGCCTCTCCAGATGGGTTAATTGTAAAAGAAAACGCATTAGTCGAAGTCAAATGCCCTTACAAGGCGCAAAACTCTACTATAGAGGAAGCAGTTAATAAAGGAGAAATTACCTATGTCACCTATGAAGATGGTAAGCTAACGCTGAAAAGGCAACATGAGTATTACTATCAAGTGCAAGGGCAATTGCATGTCACTGGCAAGACTCACTGCTACTTCGTAGTGTGGACACCCAAAGGGTTGGCATTTGAAATGATCCAGAGCGACGATGATTGTTGGGACAGAATGTTTGACAAGTTGGAGAAGTTTTATTTTGATCATATGCTCCCAGAGATTTTACGTAATGTTTAAGATTTGGCGATTTTTTCTTTCGCCCTAATCCGTCGTTTTCAATCCAAATTTGTTTTGTTTTTTAGGAAAAAGTTTTTATTGATTTGCTTCTTTCGAAATAATGAATGCAATAATTTATGTTTATTTTCTTTTTCTCAAATGTTATATTATTTTCATATTTATAGGTATAAGTTTGTTTTGTTTTTGTATTGTACAAGGGATATGTTAATTTGGTTATTGTAATTAACTTTAACTTTAGACTTTAGGGAATATACATATTAGTAATTTATGTACTAAATTATTTGTATGCTTTTTTATGTCTTGAAATTAGTTGGCATTTTTAAAGTTACTTGACCCAAAGAATTTATACTTATTTTATTTTCGTTAGAATGATACGTTTTTTTTTTATATTACTTCAGAAGAAATTATTATGTTAATGGCCGAGTATGTTTTAGGCCGGAGTTACCCAATTCCCTAATTCTTAATATCTTAATTCTTAAAAAGTTCAATATATTTAACATTGGGGTTTTTATAGATTAAGAATTAAGAACAAAAATTAACTATTAAGGAATTAGATAACCCCGGCCTTAGTCGTCGGATACTTCTAATACGTGCATGCGTTTTTACCCATCTGGCTCCAAAGAAGTGTCTGATCTTTTCAATTGAGCTTTCAGGACAGCCGAAAAAACGAAAATATTATTTCTTGAAGATTCAAATCTGTGCTTCTTCATCACAAATATTATTTTTTCAGCATAGTGAGGTGAATTTTTGAAAATTGACCAAACATCATTTTTCAAGAAACTAAAACTTTTTAAATTATTATTGGGTATTTTCCTCACACACTCTCCAACTAGCAGACCTCTAGAAACTACGGGCTAACAGATGGCTTCTAAACCTTTTGGAAATTGGCAAACAGCTAGATGACTTGAAGGTCTCTTAATAAAAAAACCCGCCTGCTCTTCTCGGCGCCTCGATTACTAAAACGAATTCGGCCTATATTGTTTTTGCATGGAACGAGTGAGACTGTAATGTGATTAACTCTCAAGTATTAAAAATTATTTATGTTACTAAAATATTTACCTAATAAAACTAAAAACTAAATTTTGTATTTTATTTATTCCTCAAAAATGATACACCACCACTACACCACAAATATTGACAGTTGTAGTGGGGATTGGAATCTTCTATACGTTCAATAGTATTTCTAATACCCATTTAGAATAATTTCATCCTTATTTATCAATCACGAATCAGATGAAACAAAAAATTACCAACAAAAACGAACGTCGATTGCTAATACGTCAATTTCATCTATTGTTTGCCCAGCGGATCTGAGTCTACGGAAGGAATTCGGACATAAATGTGCCATGTTGTCACGTTTAATTATAAAAAAAGCGAAAATACTAGGCATGAAGATAGTTCATTTGAAAATCCATTTTTTAATAACAAAATATTGATAACAATAACAAAACCCTAAATATTTTAACGTGGTTGTTAGATCTATTCTTATTTTAATCCTGATTTCTTCAATTTGGTCTATTGTAAAAATAAACATTTTCTAAAGATACCATCAGCTTTTGACAATTTGGCAAGCATCCGGCCTGGATGAACCTGATTGGTGGAGTTTTTGGCATGATTACCGTTGCCAGGAGGAACCATGCGGTTGTCAATGGGTTAACGTCACCTTATGTCTCGCTATTGGCCAGGGCTTACGTCATTTTATCCTCCCATCTTGGAATATCGATTTATATTGAAATATCCAGTGGCGGAGGTTTGGTCATTGTCGATTTTCGTATACGAGTTGCAATATGACAACACTTCCAAAAAGTTTCGCACGCAGCTGGGTATTTTATGAATGAAATCAGCCATTTTTTTTTACAACTGCATTCCCCTCACCGTTGCCCCGTAGACACAGAGTCGCTGGGCAGACATTACAAATTGAACTATCCAAGATGCTGTGAAACTTGAATTAAAATGGCCGCCAAGAGGCACACAAACCCTTTTTTTATGTGTCATTCAATGTGTCATGAAATTTTTTTCAAAAAAATAGTACTCATTGTTCATTTGCGTTTTGATACTCGTTCTTTTTACTCGTATTTTTATTAATGTTAGAAATAGAACAGATCCCTAGGGCACTCCTGCAGTGATATCCAACCCCTCAGAAGTACTGCACCCCTAGAAGCAGTACTTCATGACAGACACAATCGAAAGCTTTTTTCAGGTCACAAAAAACTACCGCGGCCACTTCTTCGTTATTTATCTTTTAATACAGCTCATCCAGGAGATGAAATATGGCATCATCAATATTTTTTGACTGCTGAAACAGAGACAGAGAAAGCAATTTATGTCTATCAAGGAAGCTCACCATCCACCTTAATTAGCCACTCTACAATTTTAGTCTAAGTTGCCAGTAAGGATATTGGCCGGTAATAAGATGGTAAATTCTTATCACCCCCCTATTAAACAAAGGTACTACCCAAGATTGCTCCAAAAATGAGGGAAAACTTCCGGTAAGAAAATAATTAATAATGGAATCAGCCAACACATCAACAGCCTAACTGAGATATCGTCCCATCCAGAAGATTTTCTATTTTTGATACTCAGTTTCTGAGCAATCGTACAGTAGTATGAATTAATATTATCTGCTTTCAAATTGGAAGCACATATGTATATTTTTTTTTTTTTTTTCGCGTAGGTCGTTACTCTTTTTGTTTATTGGATGCGGATGCCCAACCTCTCATTGTAATAAATCTTCCTTGCCTGTTTCATCGTCTTTCTGTAGATGCTCCTGTATCCATTATTTAAAGTAGGTAGCACAACACTGGACGGTGGAGTTGCAACAAATATTTTCACATTTTAAGGGTAGGTCCTGAGTGTCCAAGTGAAATGTAGGTAGAGAAATCTTGCCCAAACAATTGGGATTCCGTAATTGGGTAGAAACGGCCAAAAATTGAGACGCACACAATAGAAAATGAGTATTTGATTATGATCATTAATGACATAACCTAATGACGTTATGGTTTGTGTTTGTGTCAAATGTTTGTGTGCCTCTTGTCGGCCATATTTGTGTCACGTGTTTTAGATAGTCTAATAGGATATTCCTAACCTAATTTTATTCGTGTTTTCAAGAAGCGATATACGCTTAGTCACTCACTAGAACGACTGGTACCTTTAAATAGGTATTAAAAATTCTATACAGGGTGTCCGTTTTAAGTGATACCACTATTGCTATTTCGGAAACGGTAAAGCTACATCCTCAATCAATTTGGTAGCCAAGTCGCACTTCGGCACGTGTGCTGGAAAATTGATACCCATCCTCAATGCTGTCAATTTATTTGATGGTAGGTAATTTACCTTGCGTTCGGTATTTTGTTCAAAGAGTAGAGCGTGCAGAGCGGAGCCGTAATGACGTGACCAGCGAGTGCACAAAGCAGCTCAGAGGCCTCGAAATTTCAATAAACGAACGTGAATGAGCCTGCACCGAGTACACTTTTTGAATAAACGAACGGTAAATTGATGCTCGGAGAACTCAGATCCAAATACCGAACGTACGGGTAATGTACTGCGCATGACACAAGTTGTCACGCATCAAAAAAGCTTGCAGCTTGCAAGCTTGCACTTCGGAGTCGGCGTGCATGCCAGCACGGAATTGAATTGAGGATGCCAACGTTAAACAACATTGTCCTAGCGTGCGTGCCGAAGTGCCACTTCACTACCAGGGGGGCTTTATTTGAAATTGATGCAACTTTGCGTATACGCAAATGACGTTATTTGCGATTGAAAACTGGTGCACGGCTTATTTGAAATGTACTGCGAGCGATATGACTTTGCACCACTCGCAACTTTTGCGCATGGGGGTGTACCGATCGCAAATCTAGCTCGCACACGCAAGTTGTGTTGTCAATTTGTCAATTTATTTCGATTTATTTTAATTTTGATGCTTTTGATGGTTCACTTCAAATAAGTTCGAATATTGTGGTGATTTTTATAAATAATATATGATAATAACGTTATTAACAACAATGGGCTGGCTCGTCTTGAACTAGCGAAGGCTTTTAACGAAAACCTCGCAGTAAGGCCGCGATTTTATGCCTTCGTCCTAAGTGACCGGACTTTCGTAAAAAAAATTCGGCTAAATCAAGCTACTTTCGAAGACTTATATGAGGCTTTACAGGGCTATTTAGTGGCGCCAAGAAAAGCATCTTCCACCGAGCACCGTATAATACCGCTAAGGCTTTTGCAACATTTTTTTACTCGACTTTTTGGTAAAGGTTGGGGCGTTCTCTGACAAACTGGACAAGAAGCCTTTTTTCCTCCGCATCTGCGTTTGCGGAGCTCTTTTTTCTATCTACAGGAATAGGGCTTAGTGAAATAATATTCATTTTTTGTGGGTAATTGCCTATGAACACGTGCAGAACATATTTTAGAAAATTCTAACCTCTAAACATCAAAAAAATCATAATAAATAAATGTCATCGTAAAATATACGTCACCGTCAGCCAAAATATCGTAAAATTCAAAAATCCACTCATTTTTATATGGTAGATTTTCAATATTTTGTGAAAAGAAAACTGGCAACGCAGCGAGCGAGTGCATCTTTTGCGTGCACGCAAGTAGAGATGCACACGTCCAATGTCAATTTCAAATAAAGCTATTCGCACATAACAAGTTGCGTATACGAACAAATTGATGCAACTTTACGTGCACGCAAATATTTGCGATCGATTTCAAATAAAGCCCCCCAGATTGATTGAGGATGGGCCTTAAGAGATACGAGGTCGGTTAAATTAGAAAAAAAACTGCCTTTTTTGATGCCCATTCAAGACTCGTTTACAGTGTAGCCAAATTACTTTTAGTTTATGAAATACAGGGTGATTGCTAAGAAACGCCTAAAACTATTTCATCAATTAATTTGAAAACTATTGATTTTCGGGACACACTTTAAATTTGAAAGTTTTATAATTTTTATCGCTTTACAACATAGCATCTTCAAATTTCAAATCCGACGTTTCGTGATCGAGCTGCCATCATCAACTTTATTTTTTTTAATACGGACCTGGATTTTTAATGTCATCTTCAGAAAGCTCCTTATATTCCCTTCTCAACGATATACCTCTTGAGTATGATTGGCCGACGTTTCTGCTTTAAAAGGTATTCATCAGTGATTTTTACCAAAATTTTACCTTAATTCGGCCCTGGAATTCGTTATTTGTAACAAAGACGGTCTAACAAGTATTCTTTTCCTTTTATTTAGAACACTTAGAATTATCTAATCAATAATGAAAATGACTTAGAAATTAATTATTATTGTGAATATGTACCTACTCAAATTGACGTCCATTATTCCTTGAGCATCATCTGCAATTTTCCACAATCTTTTTGAATTTTTTTGAATATTATTTAATATTGTTTTTCATGCAACCGTCCGCGAAATTCAATTTCGCGGCCACCACACCTTACGTGGTGTGTATACCATGACCGCGAAAGTTTTCAGCATTCTCGAGATTATCTTGCCTCCGCAGTAAGCAACAACGACATTACGCGGCCTTGGTATACAAATAACTATTATTTATTCTAGCACATGCAGCCCTTATCTTCTCTTTGAATTCTTCCAATGTCTGGTATTTTTGTTAACTCCATAATGAAAATCACTGTACTCTTATTCATTTAACAATTATTATAAAATGAATAAATAATAAAGAAATGTTTGACAAGTTGCAAAGCTGTCAATTTAATTTTTTTCAAGGCATTCATTGATGAATTTTATTTATATTCAATATCAGTGATGCCAACCTGAATTTGTGAAATTACAAAATATGTACGTAATTAACTAAATAATTATTTTAATTATTGTTCATAATTAGATGATTTTAAGTGTTCATACAAAATTATTCTGTTAATTTTGTTCTAAATAATAAAGGAAAAAAGTACTTGTTAGACCGTCTTTGTTACAAATAACGAATTCCAGGGCCTAATCAAGGTAAAATTTTGGTAAAAATCACTGATGATCACTTTTTCGAGCAGAAACGTCGGCCAATCATACTTAAGAGGTATATCATTAAAAAAAGAATAAAGGGCGCTTTCTAAAAATGACATAAAAAATCCA